CCTGCCTGGTTGTTGAGTCCTGAACACTAATCTCAGCCTCCACAATATGAATCATGTATTTCATACGTACTGGTTTTATATACCAACCAAACAGACCATATCCTACCAATAAAATAGGAAACAAAATTTGTACAAGATTTAGCCGAAAGTAGCTGTGAATATGGGAGATAGTAATTGACAGACTGGGGCATAACTCAAGAATGGTAAATCGTATAATAACAGTTCATAGATTAAAATAAAGCTTATGATAATAGGAACACGAATATACATAGTTTAGTTACTTAACAATCATATAAATATATATACTATTCCACAATAAGACGAAACGGCCGTCCAGTTCTTCAAGGTTTTCAATGGTGGTCTAGCTCCAATTGGCTCATGATCTCAACTATTGAAAAGACGAAATATATTCAGTTATATTAATGTATTATATAACTACACACAGAGTAATGTTTAATATGGTCATCATGAAACACTTGAACTAATCAAAATGTAACTAAGATCGTTAAGATTTAAACGAAATATCAAATGATAACTTGGAAGCAATTTATCGAAATTCATACCGCTGTTATTACATCTAAAGAAGCTAATAGTGATAAACTAGCCACTAATGATCTCGTTGTATTCGGGTACCATTTCTATCTTTTTGTTACTGACATCAAGTTCAATATTCAGTAATAGTTTAGCATATAACAGATCATTAGTTATCAAAGTTGATACTGCTGAACATCCGTTTAGACGATTGGATTTCGACTTTTATTACTAACAGTACCTTAAAAGCATGAATCCCACATCAACATTTTCTGAAAATACTTGGAGTAGAATTGGCGGTTATTTCTTTTATCATTTATTCGCAAATACAATGTTTCAACACCACTAAATATTGTGGTGGAGTTTAGCTCAGTTTCCTTAATTTCTTATAATTACTTAGATATATCGCTGTTAAAATAATCAAACTGTAGAATGTCTAAATCACTTCTTGTCAATGTTGAGAATTGATACCGTAACCGCCTATTGATATGTGACAAACAAGTAAAATAATATGAAAATTGCATAAAGTTCAATATCAATAAAATTCCTAGTCACTAAACCACTAATTTTAGTATTTATGTTCGAGTCTTTTATTGACATATGATCTGATTCCAATTAGATCATATGTTGATCGCTATTGAATGATTGTTATTGAAATATATATATGTCGCCTATCCTCGTATATAATTATCGATTTAAACCGCATTAGTGAATAACGGGATTAAATAAGTCAAATAAATGAAAGGATTTTTGAATATGTATATTTTGTACACTCATTGATCTGTACAGACAATCAGCGGGACGAAGCGAAATGACAAGCAGCGGAGATGGCGGGCGAGTCAATTCCATTTCATTAAGCGGTAATCAATATTTATAGTCACAAAAATAAACTATATACATGTGGGGTAAGTAGGATAAGATATATATACATATATATACATATATGCTCATATAAAAACAGTCAAAGTTGATAAGCGAATAGTTGACATGATAAAAACGTGACTCCAGAAGCTAAAATAAGGTATATGGGCTTAACATAGTAACCGACACTATAGTCCATACACATAGTAAATATTATGTATAAATTGTATTTCAACTCCAATTGAAAACTTCTTCTTGTATTGTTTAACTTATGAAATGTAAAGTTTATTTCGTACTATTTTGAGTTCTGCTTTGTTCTCTAGCTTAATTACTAAGTAAATTGTGATTCTCATCAGATATGAAAGCAACAATACTAGTGTGTAAATGAAAAATTTGGTGATGAAGCACACTGATCACGTTGAATAGTGTTACTGATTATAAATTAAAGATGTTTTCTAAGGGTAACATGAGTATTAAAGTAAGCAAGAGATATGACCAAATCTTATATTTAAAAAAACGAGGATAAAGTTATGGCTTAATGATTAAGAGGAGAGGAGGTAGAGGACAAACCAGCTTCCAGCTGAGGAGACGTTGGAAGTGGATAGGACACACATTGAGGGAATCATCAAACTGCGTCACCGGGTGAACACTAATTTGGAATCCTAAAGGGAAACGGAAAAGTAGGAGGTCAAAGAACACACTGTGTCGGGAATTGGAAGCAGACACGAAAAGCATCAATAGCAACTGGAAAGGATTGCCCAGTACAGAGTTGGATGGAGAATGATGGTGAGAGGCCTATGCTACTCCATAAATAGTAACAGGTATAAGTAAGAAAATTCAGTATTCCTAAAATTTCTTTAACTTATAGGCTATCATTTCCCTAGACAACTTTATAGTGAATTTATTCTGCTGCTTTATTATCTTGGATGAAATTATCAATACAATCTTCATCATAAACAAATAACATTTAATTTTTCTGCACTTATTCCTCAGAACAATTTAAGGTGACTGTAATGGTATTTTACCCACAGGCCCACTAACAATTGAAGCGATCAGCATAGCCAATGGACAAATCAAGGACAGCAAGGAAGCAGGACCAGACAACATTCCAGCAAAGGCACTAAAAGCTGATGTAGCAGTAACTGCAAGGATATTCCACATTCTCTCCAGATTTGGGATGAAGGACAAGTACCAACAGACTGGAAAGAAGGACTTCTGATCAAAATACCAAAGAAAGGTGATCTCATCAAGTGTGATAACTACGGAGACATCACTCTTCTATCAATACAAGGAAAAGTCTTCAACAGGGTATTGTTGAACGGAATGAAGGACTCTGTAGACGCCCGATTTCGAGACCGACAGGCAGGATTCCGTAAGGATAGATCGTGTACAGACGAATCATTGTGGAACAATCAATTGAATGGAATTCATCACTCTGCATCAACTTCATTGACTACGAGAAAGCACTTGATAGTGTGAACAGGACAACGCCATGGAAGCTTCTTCGACGATACGGCGTGCCTGAGAAGATAGTCAATATCATACGGAATTACCATGATGGAATAAACTGCAAAATCGTGCATGGAGGACAACGGACAGACTCGTTCGAGGTAAAAACCGGTATTAGGCAAGGCTGTTTACTCCCACCCTTTCTTTCTCCTGATGATCGACTGGATCATGAAGACATCAACATCTGGGGGGAAGAATGGGATACAGTTGGTTGGTGGTCGTCGACAGGAGACCCTGGACCCGGGTTTCGGGCTACTTGGCACTCGTCAGCAAGACGTATCTGTGATCTTTAGGGACCTGGTGCTCCCTGATGGGTTCGATCCCTTGCCACCCAGCTTCACAGTCAGAGACGTTACTACTGAGCTATCCGGTCCGCGATCGACTTCTTTTAGGACTGAGATGTGGTCACAATTGACTGATCACTGGGTGGTGACCGATGTCATGTGTGTGAAGTCCTTATTAGTGCAGATCGAATGCTATCGACCATGTTGCAATGTAGCCACCAGTCTAGGTGACTTGACACTGCTAATGAGAAGTGGAAGACAAAAGAACACATTACTATGAAAAATGGGAACAGATATGAGAAGAATGAGCAAAAATTGGATAGAACTAGGAAGGAAGGCCCAAGACTATGGGTTGGAGAATGCTGGTCGGTGACCTATGCTTCATTGAGAGTAACAGGCGTAAGTAAGTAATTAAGTAACACAATCAATGAACCACGTATATATTTATATTTCAGCAGGAAATATATCATACTATAGGTCCGGTAACGTTATATAAGATAGTCATCAAGACATAACGATTGGTTTGCTTAGCTTCATCTTGTAAATATCTCTTTATGACTTGAGATGGTGATTGAAATTCTTCACAATGTCGATTCTTTAAGTTGTGTTCACTGTTCCATGGTTGTAATGTAATTGCTTTCTTCTCGTACAAATTTGATGCTTCAATTTCAAATACATCGTCTTTTAAAAACAAGAGGTTAGATAAGGCTCTAGCTTTAGAAGTTGAGAATATTCCTTCTTCTTCTGAGTAAAGGTTTTCGTCTCGAACATCGTTTAGTGTTCCGTCAATTAAACATGGACATAAACATTGACAGATCAAACGTCTTTTGTTATCCAAATCGACATTCCAGTCAGTCATTCTATCTATCTATCTATCTATCTATATCGATTTTATGAGTTCAAAATAGATACATTTGTTTATTTTAATACTGTATTGACTGCCTATAACTAATGGGTTGCATACTTTGTATTAATGAATCTTAATGAATGGTTATATAATTGCAAAGGACGCTTTTTATGATATTGAATTATTTTAGGTTACATTGTGTACCGCGGGGTGGCTACTCTAATTACTACCGACTGACCAACTTCATATATCCCAGTACGACCCCAATACTGTTCCCCAATCTCCAATATATCAGAACATGAAGCGTAGATGAAATTGTTTATGGGGTCAGGAGAAGAATAAGAATAGGAATGATACTTTACAGACAAATGCATATTTATATAGTTAGGACTACCGTGAATATTGACCAACAGAAAAATGACACGTGAATTAAATATTGACCAGTAGGGAAACGACACCCTTTAACGTTCAAGGATAGTATTAGACTAAGTGCCATACACCATCTGATAAGGCAACCCCCAGAACCGTAAGCACATGCAACGTAGTTAATGACGAAGTTTTTGACCATCTAGCTTGTGCTGGGTCGGTTGGAGAGGAAGTAAACTTGTTTTCCGTACGAAGAGACCAGTGCCATTATCAAAAGTTGATGAAGAATTAAACCACCTACAACTAGAAGGAGTTATCACACCTGCCCCTTATTCTGTTTGGGCTGCAACAACTGCGGTTATCCAGAAGGCAAATGGCACAACACACAGATCTCTACAGGCCGTAACACAACCCTTAAACATCATTACACACTATCAGTTCCCACAGATTTATTCACTAAGCTAAATGGTGGGAAGATCTACGCAAAGTTGAATCTTATTGACGCGTATTTACAAGTGGTGTCTAAAGAATAAAGAGACCTACCAATAGCGATTTGTTTTAGTATAACCGTCTACCACTTGAGGGTTGAGACCGTCCCATCTATTTTCTAACAATTAATGGGTGCCATCTGATCGAGTATCCTGGGGATTATTCCCTTGGATCCTATCTCCCTCTATCGTTTCCTAAGTCTAGAGGAAAATAGAGTGTATGGTCGAGTCTAAAAGTCTTCAACAATTTCCAGGCACTTCTTAGCAAATAAAACATCCTTTGTAAGCGGGTTCATGGAAAAGAAAACAATATCACGAAGCATCAAAATTTTATACATAATTAATCTCTGGAAGTGTGTATGTAACTTAAACAAACGACATAGATGTAGATTATCCATCTCCTCCGCTGAACTAATGACTGTTTGAGCATTAGTTCAAAGTCGATTCGCTTGTTATACACAATCTTCAGAAGCGGAATCGAGCTCATATTACCGAACGGAGACATAAAGTAGTTTTTGGCTATCACTTTAGATATTCTGAGCTGTATACAAACTTATTTCCGCTTTTTGTCATATATGATATTCGATTGTTGCGCAAAAGACTAAAAGTTCCGATAGGTTCTTTTCAATACTACTACAACTTTACCAACAACAAAAAAAACACAAACATAATAGTCGGAACTAAGATGTTTTACAATTCAGTTGTCGAGTAAATATAATGTACATTCATATACACAGTGAGAGTACAAGAGAACTGAACAAACATCATATATATATGAACAGAACAATAAAAACGACTATCTTTTAAATGCGTTTCACTTTCTCATGACATAACTCAAACAATGTTATAACAAATTCATAAAACAAATATAAAACAATTAAACACATTATATACAATAATGGTGAACTTATACCGAATAAAAAATAGCTAAATATATACAAGAAAATAATTCGTAATAAAACATAATAATTTGCCAAAAAACGAAAAGATAATCGGGGATTATTCGTTATTAAAAAACTCTGCGATTCATGTTGTTTGGGATATGATGATGGAAGTAATAATTGACGTGCAAATCTTCCTCGAATACCTGACAATGAACACCAGCGAATAAAGTGTTGTTTCATCTGGAAAAAAAGAGAGGAAATACAGAATAACAAAACCACTAGACTATAAATTCATGGACAAACTTTGAACGAATCTCAAGTGATCTTGATAAATACTAGCCAATCAGCAAACAGTCAATATAGAGTAAAAATATATTATACAAAATCAAAGAAATAAAATGGATACACTACTTTTACATGGTTCAAAAACTTGTCAATGTTAAGAAGAGGTTCAGAGGTTCTAAAATAGTAATGCATGCAGTAGAGGAAATCATCCATATGGCTACAGAATAGTCGGCCTCTGGAGCCATGATAAAGTCTGAAAAACTCTTTCAGCATCGACCATATAGCTTCAATATTGTTTGTGAGCTCCCAGGTTGTTGAGTACACAAAATGCTACTTGTGGATAACGACACGATGCACATAACCAAGCCTATGTATGAGGCTGTATTCTCTCCATTCATCCGTATATAATGTAGTGCCTGGATGCAGCATATACACAAGGCTACATGGATCTCACCGGACCACACTACAGAGAACCAGATAGATCATATTTGCATCAACAAAAAATTCCGAAGGACAATGGAAGATGTGAAAACCAGGAGAGGTGCTGACATAGCTTCAGATCACCACCTAGTTGTAGCCAATTTAAAACTGAAGCTGAAAAAGAACTGGACAACTGGACAAACAACACTACAAAGGTTCAATACAGCCTTCCTTCGAGATACTGACAAACTCAGTGAATTCAAGATAGCTCTCAACAACAGGTTCGAAGCCTTACAAGATCTACTGAAGGGAGAAGAAACTTCTACGGTGGACAATTGGAAAGGCATCAAAGAAGCATTAACTTCAACGTGTCAAGAGGTTCTGGGCCTAAAGAAACACCATCATAAGGGGTGGATCTATACAGAAACACTGGACAAGATCAAAGAAAGGAAGAACAAGAAGGCAGCAATAAACAACAGCCGAACACGAGCAGAGAAAGCCCATGCACAAGCTGAATACATAGAAGCAAACAAACAAGTGAAGAGGAGCATTAGAGCCGACAAGAAGAAATACGTGGAAGAACTAGCAACGACGGCAGAAAAAGCTGCTAGAGAAGGAAATATGAAACAGCTTTACGATACAACGAAGAAACTAGCAGGGAAATACAGTAAACCAGAGAGACCGGTCAAAGACAAAAAAGGCAGGCCAATCAGTGAAATGCAACAACAGCGAAACAGATGGGTAGAATACTTCGAGGAACTCCTGAATAGGCCGGCTCCAATGAATCCAGTGGACATCGAAGCAGCACACACAGATCTTCCTATAGATGTCAACCCACCAACGACGGAAGAAATCAGAATGGCCATCAGACAAATCAAGAGTGGGAAAGCAACAGGACCTGACAACATACCAGCTGAAGCACTGAAGTCAGACATCGAAGTAACTACAAACATCCTTCACCTTCTATTCAAAAAAATTTGGGAGGCGGAACAAGTGCCGATGGACTGGAAAGAAGGACACCTCATCAAGATTCCAAAGAAAGGAGACCTGAGCAAATGTGAAAACTACAGAGGAATCACACTACTGTCAATACCAAGGAAAGTCTTTAACAGAGTGTTGCTGAACCGGATGAAGGATGCAGTAGACGCCCAACTTCGACATCAACAAGCTGGATTCCGTAAGGATCGGTCGTGCACAGACCAAATTGCAACACTACGGATCATCGTCGAACAATCAGTTGAGTGGAACTCATCACTATACATCAACTTCATTGATTATGAAAAGGCATTTGACAGTGTAGATAGGAGGACATTATGGAAACTTCTTCGACACTACGGAGTTCCTGAGAAGATTGTCAAAATAATCCGGAACTCATACGACGGATTACAGTGCAAGATCGTGCATGGAGGACAGCTGACAGATGCATTCCAAGTAAGGACCGGAGTCAGACAAGGCTGTTTATTCTCCCCCTTCCTCTTTCTTCTGGTGGTCGACTGGATTATGAAGATCTCGACATCTGAAGGAAAACACGGAATACAAAGGACAGCTCAGAATCAATTAGACGATTTGGACTCCGCAGATGACCTAGCCCTCCTATCGCGTACAGATGCAGATGAAGACAGCCAGTGTAGCAGCAGGCTCCGCATCAGTAGGCCTCAGTATACACAAAAGGAAAACCAAGGTCCTCAAATTCAAAGCGGAAAACAGTAATCCAATCACTGTTGACGGCGAAACTCTGGAAGATGTAGAATCCTTCACATACCTGGGAAGCATCATCGATGAACAAGGAGGTTCGGACGCAGACGTAAAGGCGAGGATCGGCAAAGCAAGGGTCGCATTCCTACAATTGAAGAACATATAGAACTCAAAACAACTTTCAACCAATATCAAAGTGAGAATCTTCAATACCAACGTCAAGGCAGTTCTACTGTATGAAGCTGAAACTTGGAGAACTACAACAACCACCATCTAGAAGGTACAAGTATTTATAAATAGCTGTCAACGCAAGATACTCAACATCCACTGGCCGGATACCATCAGCAACAGCCTTTTGTTGGAGAGAACAAATCAGCTTCCAGCTGAAGAAGAAATTAGGAAAAGACGATGGAAATGGATAGGACATACATTACGCAAATCATCAAACTGCATCACAAGGCAAGCCCTAACTTGGAATCCTGAAGGGAAGCGGAAAAGAGGAAGGCCAAAGAACACATTACGTCGGATAATAGAAGTAGATATGAAAAGGATGAATTACAACTGGAAGGAGCCGGAAAGGATTGCCCAGGACAGGGTTGGATGGAGAATGCTGGTGAGCGGCCTATGCTCCTTCACGAGGAGTAACAGGCGTAAGTAAGTAACTGGATGCAGCCAGTGTTACGGGCGCTTTTATTATCCAGTTCGCAATAATTGTCATACTTTGCCTTAGTTTGGAATTATATATAGGGTTTTCACCACGAACTGACATCAGTTACAATGCCAAAAATCTATTTAGCCAAATGGACGAAAGGCTTTCGCGCCAAAATCCGAGATCTCTTATCTTATACCTGATTGATTCGTCCACAAATTATAGCCTTGCCGTTTTATTTGTTATAACCGCTCAATTATCATGTTTTGTACAAAATTCCCCGTGAACCGATCGTACGTTAGCATTAAGCACTGAAGTTGGTGCCACGACCTTGAAATCCCTCAAACGTCTGTGATTGGTTCGTTCATAAATTAGAGTCTCGCCATAACTTCTTATCACACTGATATCAACTCCGAATTGGACTGATGTTAAAAGATACCTACTCAGTAGAATGGACACTTCGTCTAATAATATAATGTAGATGATAGGTCATTGGTTGAACTTAACTTAGTATTATGCCGGTAGGAACGAGATTGCTAGTTCAAGTGGATATTATTGAGTTTCAAAGCTTCCATTGTCATTATGAACAACACTGTGAGGCAGTTACACACTGAAGTTGGTGGAGAATGGTCGCGCAATATCGTGGATTGGTTGAAGTTAAACATTAACAACTTTAAATGCTGGTTCAGTGGTCTAAAGGTTAAGCGTTTGAGCGCGAGAACGAAGGTCCTGAGTTCGAGCCCCGCGTGCGCACTGCTTACAAGTCCCATATTAGGTTGAGACGGTCGTTCGGTGCTTCGATGATTTTAATGGTGATCTAACATTAATCAGCCCATGATCTTAATCAAAAATATTTTATGCGTTTCCTTTTAGGAAATCATGAAATTCTACTTTACAGTACAGTAAACAACTTCATTTCTAGATATCTAGAGGGTTACATAGAAAGTCTGCAGCAGGAAAATACACTCAATTCTATAGTGCAGTACCAATCAGATACAAAAGGAACCTGATAAAGATCCTGACTCATCATGCTAGAATGATTTGTTCAGATGACATTATTGTAGATGAATTAGTTAATATTTGTAACTTACTTAGTGAGAATGGGCACGCAATAAAATTCATCGACAAACAGATGAAGGAGATGAAAAGAAGGACAAGGATACCTACCGTTCCTAAGAAAACATTGTTCTTAAAAGTTCAATTGCTAAAGAAATTGTGACTCAGAGACTAAGGAAAATTGTACAAAAAACATTTAATGCAGCCAGACTAAGTGCCATCTTCTACAACCACCCCACAATAAGAACGGCCAATAAAGATAGATTGCTTGAATTCGCCAGATCTATGTGTACTTGTCGATTCAACTGCTCCTGTGGAGCCAGTTATACAGGGCGTACAATTCGACAAGTTCGTCATCGTACAACAGAACACCATCCGTCGTAGCTAAGTAAAGGAAAGGTAAGAGTGATTGAGAGTTGTATTCTCGCTCACGTGGTTGACACAGGTCAACAAGTTGAACTGAATAAAGCTTTTAAGGTTATCTACCATATTCCATCAAATTTGCCACATGGTTTACGAGTGTGTCTTTTACATATTGCTTTTTAAGCAATATGTAATAATAATTACGTGTTACATTTAAGCCATCGCAATCCATGTTCACAGACCTAACCTTCGCATCCAAAAGTTTGTACGACCACTTTCGCTACCTTGACCATCGGTACAGGGACGTTTGTAGCAGAACATTGATTTTTGAACTTTGTATTTTACTTATTCTAAACACTCGTCTCTTGATTCTTACATAACTACTATTCTACTGACCATCCATCAAAACATTCTGTTCCTTCTCTTTTTCATATATTATGCAACGTTATACTCTTCACAAGATAATACATAAAATCGTAAGAAACTTCCCCACAATAAATACAAAAGGTATTTTCTTACCATTTCAGTAAACTTATTTTCTAAATATTTGCATACTGTAAGTATGTAACGATTTTCATATGATGCATTCATGGTCGATGCATATTCACGATTTATTAATTGTTGACAAACATATGGACGTTTTACACCCATTATAATCTAAAAATTTCAATGAACAAAAATTACTATTTGGCACATGAATCGAGTAATATAAATGAAAATATTGATGTAAACTTTGGAGGCACAGTGTTTATCACACTTTGCTTATAGAAGTAGGTTAGTAACGTTTTGGATGCAACAATTCTTAATGCAAAGGATTGCGCTGTACGTATGCCCCAAAATGCCCTGGTATGGCCGAGAGTGGGGAGAGGCCGCTCTCCCTTTCGAAATACTCTCACATGACCACGCGTATATACCTTCTGCCAGGGAAGTCCTACTCATTGCCTTCTCGTGGCGGGGGTGTTGTTTACGAAAATGAGAGGACGAAAAGCGAATGTCCGACGCTTTAACCGGACCCCAAATCAATGGTGCACATGGGCTTCAGTATCTTGAGGGAACAAATGGCGTATGAACCAATCGTTGGTCACCGGCTTCCGTGGGACTGCATCTCTTCACGATGCTCCATTGCCTTGTGGATCAGACCTTCAGGTCAAAGGCTCGGGGTGTGGCCCCTTAAGAAAACCACGTGCTTCGGTCTGGGCACCCGGGCAGTATCCCAGCCCTCACACATGTCGAACGAGATTTGTATGGCGCATATGTATTTGGTACCTCCTTGTACCAATATCTATGTGTTAAAATAAATAACTGTACGTAAACTGGCATAGATTACATGTAATGATAGTAGCCAAACTAAACAGAAGTCGTAGTAACATCCAATTAGAAACAAACAATAATCAAATGACATTCACTAGTCAAATTCAATGTTGTGAAAAATCAATGACTCTATGGATAAGGATAGTACACGTCTAGAATACGAACTACAAGAGATCGACTGAATAACTGCATTGACATTCTGTCAGTCAATGCATCAGTTCAGGTTGCCAATGTTTAAGGAAATGTGTAAAGTGGTTACTATGAATATAATGGATATTATTATTTGAACATGACTAATAGGAAAGGAGCTCAGCAGTATCGATGTAGAATACATTTCAGCAACAATCATATTATAAATAATAGGAAAGAGATTCAAAAGTGGGAAATAAGTTCAAACAATTTAAAGGTTAAGAAGAACAATGAGGATTTGGTAACTACAGAGGAAATGTGAGAATAACACTACTGTCGGTACCAGGAAAGGTTTTCAACGGAATGTTCTTCAACTGAATGAAAGACTAAATAGACACCAGACTTCGAGATCAACAGGCTGGATTCCGTAAGGATCGGTCGTGTACAGACCAAATCATAACAAAAAGGATCACTGTCAGTTGAATGGAACCATTCACTATAAATCAACTTCATCAATTATGAGAAAGCATTTGACAGTGTGAACACGAAAACATTATGGAACATACTTCGACACTATGGTGTACCTGAGAAGGTCACCAACATCATACGGAATTCACACAGCGGACTACCCTGCAAAGTCGTGCATGGAGCACAGCTAACATATGCATTTCAGATAAGAACCGGAGTCACATAAAGCTATCTACTCTACCTCTTCCTTTTTCGTCTGGTGATTGACTGAATTATGGAGACCTCCACATATCAGGCGAAGCATATGATACAGTGGACACATTGGAGGTAGAGGCGAGGATTGGTAAAAATAAGGACAGCATTCCTACGATTGAAGAACATGTAGAACTCAAAACAACTGTCAACAAATATCAAACTCACAATCTTCAACATCAACTTCAAGACAGTTCTACTGTATGAGTTAAACATGAAGAATTACTACAAGCATCATCAAAAAGGTACAAGTATTTATTAACAATTGTCTAAGTAAGATACTGAATGTCCGTCGGCCGGATATCATCAGCAACAGCCTACCGTGGGAGAGGACAAACCAGCTTCCAGCTGAGGAGACGTTGGAAGTGGATAGGACACACATTGAGGGAATCATCAAACTGCATCACCGGGTGAACACTAATTTGGAATCCTAAAGGGAAACGGAAAAGTAGGAGGTCGAAGAACACACCGTCTCGGGAATTATATATATATATATATATATATATATATATATATATATAATTAGTGAAGCTTAGCTGTAGAACAATTAATCCAACTTAATCCATGATGAAGAGAGTAATGTTCGACGAACACTAAATGTTTGGTGTTAATCCAAAGTCTGTGACCTGTAAACAATGAACATCGGAAATCCAAAGACACAATATTAAGGCATACTGTCTAGTGAGAGTTTGAAGATGTTTTAGACATACTGGTTTTCAATGTACCTTTAACTAATGTCCAGTTTGTGGTTAGAACTATTTAGGTTTAGTCTGGAAACTCAAAACTTGTGAAAGTATCGAGACAGATTTAAACTAATAATATTGGTAATATTGGTATTGATAATGAAGCAAAATTAAGTATTTGTGTTTACTACTTATCATTCAACGGATAATTCAAACTAGATCTTAGTAACTGTATTGTTGAGTATAGTTTAAGAGGTTCGAATTCCGCACAGTAAGGTAACTACAGTAAGTATCAACAAGTTACTTGTATGGCAACTGGTAAGACGATGTTTCATAGGCTTTTAAGGATATAGTTTTAAAATTTGGTGTATAGATCGTTACATAATAACTTTGGGACACAAGAGGCATAAAAACCCTGTTCCTTGTTGGTATGAGAAAAGATAGTATAAATAAACAATAAATAGAAACTGGAACTATTCACCTGGAAACGATCCAACGGTGTGAGCTTTGTATAATATCTTGATGAATCATGGCTATTTACGAATGTTTTGGGCATCGAACATGCGTCTATATTCCAAGATGAATTAGAAAAATCACTTGGAGATAAATTATCTTTATAAGGGTGTTCAACACTAGGAGATTTCGACGAGGTTGGCGGAGATTTTAGGTGAGGTCGTGTAAGTATCGGACTAGCCGATAAATCATCCCACTGTATACGACCATTCGGTGGTGGTTGCAAGGAAATATCATGTACAGCTTCGAAAGTCTATAGAAGAGAAAAACGATTTTATGGGGAATTCAAAACAAAATTATATTGAGCGCTTTTAAGAATGTAGCTAAAACAACGTTAATAAAAATTACATTGCACTATTTCCACAACCATATATTGATAATTATCATATGAACACTAGTGAACAGTTTTGAGAAATAATTCTCGGAATTTTAGTCAGAAGCCGTGAACAGTGGAGTCTAACTGTGTCGGGTACGAGACAGATACTCATAAAAGATAATGGAAGATGGTTACATAATATCGAGAAGTGGTTGAAGTTAGTCCCACGTTCAAAATCGTGGATGTGCATTGCTGAGGACGAAACCGCCGCTAAGTGCTACTAACTTTCCAATGGTGGTCTAATATTGACTGGTTCATGATATCAATTAGACTCGAACAATTTACATCGCTGGATAAGAACGAGATGAAAGACAATAATTCATGTCTACGAACAGACATTGAATTTTAACTCGGTATTGATGAACATCACAAATTAAGAAATACATAACTAAGCGATTGTTTTTTAACCTGGATTTCCCTAGTATCTTAAGCACTATATGCTGGGAGTTGGACTGATGACATAGTTTCACTTACATTCAAAATGAATCTTACAAAACCAAAAAATTAAGAATAGTTTGATTTTAATTTCAATAAGGAGATGAGAGCGACGGAACGTACCATTTCTATTAGTGAGGCTCAACGCGAGCATTCTCAACAACTGACTCGTCACAACAGACAAAGTCCATGAAGCGTTGTACTAGGGTTTTTGAAGATTTAGTTATTGGGTTACACATGGTATATTCAATAAATACACTAATAGATCTACTAAGGTTGTTAGTTATATACATTTTGCGTCAATGTTCAATCTCTTTCGTCACCAGCGCTATTATATCATTCCGATTTGTTTGACTACTCATCTTGTTAATTCCGTTTTGTTGTGATAATATGGTATGGGACCAATACACATCTGTGAGAAGCTCAATGGTAGAATGCTCGCCTGCCACGCGGGCGGCCCGGGTTCGGTTCCCGGCCGACGCAAATCGCCTTTCCCGATCGAAGCTGCTACCTTGACGCGGTGGTCGGGCTTGCCTATCGTGATGACCCAACCGAGCTATATTGGCTGGAACATATGGTCCTGCAGGTTCTACCATGCCAGGCAGGTCGATTGGCGAACGGTAAGACTAAAAGCAGCAACTCAAGGTCTGAGGGCGAAGTCGTACTGCTGACTGTAGAGAGGTGTGACAGCAGTAAGGTGTTTCCCTCGGACAACCAGCATGACAGCGATGTTGCCTTCCCACAAGGAGGGGTGGGGTTAGAAAAGATCGACCCTAAAAATGCACACCTCACCTTACCTCACGGATTTCCGTCTCCGGCGGTAAGGCCCCTTGAAGAACGGAGCTAACACGTCAAAAACCTTCTACAAAAAGGCCGTGGGCGACCGGCCTCAAGCAGTTGTCCCTTGGGCTCTGCGGTCACGCTCCCAGGTCGTAAAGACCAACACTAATCCAATTTCCTTTTCAGGTTCCTCAAGAAATACCCTTCCACGGTGTGGGCAGCCGGGAAGTGAGTAGGTTGGAAGAAAGCTAGGGGCGGCCAAACCAAATCATGGCACAAGTCCATGAAGTCACTGACAAGTGAACTGAGTCGTGTTGGTAGGTGTAGACTACCTGGTTGGGGACCGCGAGATGACAGCAACCGATGGTTAGAGACCCTGAATGACATGGCTCAAAATCGTTTGCAATGGCGCAGGTGCATCCACTCTCTGTGTTCTCCCAAATTCTGAATTCTTCATGTCCCTATTTTCCTCTTTCCAAATTTCTTTCACTGGATTATACTCTTTAAATAACATCTCCAAACCCTAATCTTCCCGATTACTGCTTATACTCTTATTACCTCTACCACTACGGGATTTGAATCGACAAGTGCATCTCTGTGCTAATGTGGTGTGGCAACTCGAACTGATGTACGTACGTACGTACGTACGAAGTTCTACGTTGTTACTGACTGACTGACTGATACATTTAGTACAATTACGTACAGTAGCTAAAGAGGAATGAGTATGGGTAATCAATGAGCTTGTTTAAATACCTGCTTACTTATGGGGTAATCTAGTGACATTTTAAGTGTTAAGTTTGTTGACAATGTGGGGTTCAGTAGAGTACACTAAATAGAAGCAGCTTTGATTCGTATTCACCAACCAGTTTTACTCTGCAATCAAAATGATAACTTTATTTTCAGTGAAATGTCGTAAATAGTACCAACTGATGCAATTAATCACAAAATATTTAAAAGATTAAGTTAGACTATCATGTTTAAAAGAAAGGCATACTTCTTGAATAGCAAAGAATTCTCGTAATGAATGTATTCCTTCTGTTAAATAGAATATACATTTGTTGACACTTTCGTCAGAGTTATCCATATCAAATATCAGGAAACTACATAACCATTTAGTAAATTTATCAAACCATCCGTCGGAATCTGATGAAAATTTGTCCATCTTTTTTATTACTTCAGATTGCAAACTAATAGAATCAATCGAAATAGTTAAATTATCATTATTTATAATATTATTAAAATTTGTTTTTATTGAATATTATGTTATATATATATATATATATATATATATATATATATCAACCTCCTTGATTGTGAGAAAGCATTTAACAGGGTAGATAGGCGAACACTGAAAACTTTTTCGACACTATGGTGAGTGAAGACCAGTGTCAAACAAGGCTTTTTACTCTCTCAACAATAACCTGCTGTGGCAGAGAATAAACCAGCTTCCAGATGAAGAGGAAATTATGAAGGAAAGCTGGGGGTGGGTAGAACATAAAATTAAGGAAACCACTAGATTGCGTCGAGGCACGCCTTAACTTGGAATCGTAAAGTCAAAAGAAAGAGCCAAACCAAAAGCATTGCATCGGGAATGAGAAACATACATCCAAAGAATGAATAGTACTTAGCAGAGAATGGAAAGTAGTGTCTAGGATATAGTTGGTTGGAGAATCCTGATTGGCAACCTATGCATTACGAGCAGTAACCGATGTAAGTAATATATATTTGTAATTTACTTCAACAATAAATAGAACAGTTATGCATTGAAATAATTTCAATTTGAAATGATGTATCCAACTAGAAATCTCAACAAATTAGGAACATGGCCAATTGAACTTTGAAGTTGCTAAACAACTCATGAAGTGGTAGCTGAGGCCACGAAAATATTTCATGCCTATTGTCATCCTCAAATGCCCTGGTACAGCCGAGAGTGGGGAGAGTCAGCCCTCACTATCGAAATGTTCTCACATGGCCATGTGCATACAACCACTGACAGGGAAGCCCTCACACAAATCGTTTGATTTGTGTGGCTTATATATATTTGGTGCCTCCTTGTACCAATGTTTATGTGTTTCAATTAAAAAACCTCCCAGAGGGTTCTGAGTCCCATCAGTTTATATCTGATTGTAGTTGATGATGGAACTCAGCTTAGATATGACATAAATAATCTTTGACTGAAATGAAAGAATGACAAAATTATAAACTTACTTTACTTTTGTAATCATCATACAATTTAAAACCCTTTCAACAGTACTAATTATTACAGGATTCCAGAGGCCACTTTGTTCCCTTTGATATTCAGATACTATTACATTGGATAAAGTAGCGTCTTGTTGTTGTTCGGACAAAATTTCTATCAGTGAAAATAGAAACGAATGAAAATCAGATACTTATAAGAGTATTGTTTGAGTATTCGTAAGTCATTTTCAAAAGAATTGCTACTCATTTTATAGTAAGACATTTCTTAATAAAGCGTTTATCATCTCTCGCTAAACTATTTTTAAGAATAGTTAGTCTAATCACCTTTCATTGTGTTTATAATGAAAGAATAGTGATTTCATTGCTTTCAGTACCCTTCCATGTTTCAGTATATCCTCGAATATTCTTCAGTCGCCATGTCTTACAACTTATCATTTGGCACTTCATAAACTATAGGCACTATTTTCTACATCAGGGATTTAAGAATAATCTGCCATCATAATCAAATTAAGCACAATAAGCTCATCGATAATTAAGGGTACATTGACACGTTTTTTCTTGGACACACCACTTTTCAGGAAAGTATAACAGTTATCGAGTGGTAGCTAAATAATGATAACGAAGTTTAGACTGACGCAAAATGTAAAACGATACAGTATTGTGTGATCAGTTGTTTTTTAGTTATGTATTATCAACAACCTTAGTAGATCTATTGATGTATTTATTGAATATACCATGTGTAACCCAATAACTAAATCTTCAAGAACCCTAATACAACGCTTCATGGACTTTGTCTGTTGTGACGAGTCAGTTGTTGAGAATGCTCGCGTTGAGTCTCACTAATACAAATTATATGTTCCGTCGCTTTCAGATCAGTATGAATATTCAAAGTAAACTGTACTGTTTACTTGTTTCAAAGACCATGTTGAAACGTCATGAATTTATGCAGATTGGATTGTTGCACAATGTATATACGGCCTTTGGCTGTCAGGCGGGGATGCTGCCTGCCGTAAATGACACAAGTTGGCGAAGGTTAACCATGCTTTCTGAATATTTTTCAAAATTTTATTACACATGAACCCTTCAAGAGGAACATTTTCCCTTTAGAAAAAGGGAGGAGCATAACAAACATGTTTGCGTTGTTGTTCATAAAGATCAAAAAATTGCATTTCATCAGTGTATTCACCATTGTGAACGATGTTATATAATTCAATAAGTGAACCGTTTGGTACGAGATCGCCTTCCTGTAGATCTATGTGCAAAAGTGTGTCAGCAATAAAGTGTATCCTTCAGACAACCAGAATGACAGCGATGCTGCCTTCCCACAAGGAGGGGTGGAGTTAGAAAAGGTCGACCCTAAAAATGCACACCTCGCCTTATCCCACGGATATCCGTCTCCGGCGGTAAGGTCTCAACAAGTACGGAGCTAACACGAAAATTACTCATAAAAAGGTCATGTGACCGACCTCAAGCAGTTGTGCCTTGGGCACTGTGGTCACGCTCTCAGGTCACTAAGACCACCTTTAATCCAATTTCCTTTTCAGGTACCTCCAGATGATGATCGAAAACCAAGCATGTACTCCAAGAGTGGCAATCTCCAACGATGTTCCATTTGTTCATCGTTGAGTTGATGTTAAGGATCCAACAGATTAAACAACGTTTTTTCCTTTTGCTCCATGATTGTACTTACTTGGAATAATCGGTTTGGGTATAACCGCAATAAATAGCCACCGTTATCTGGTAATGGGGTTGGGATGTCATAGGACTTACATAAGCTATTATAACACGGTTATATGAGTTAAAACTGATGGTTGGAGACCTTTGATTACATATTTCGAAATCTTTGGTTTTCAAACAGTTCATTTTTAATTTATTCAATTATCACATGTTACTTTTTGTTATTTCAAACGTAATGACTTGAATAAATGAAACAAATTTAATTGGTTTCCGAGTGTGGTTTTTGTCCTGTACTGACGTCACTAGGAGAAACACTAGTTGGGATTTTCATTTATATTTGAGATGACTGAGAGGTTTCTACCTGTTAAGTCGGTTTTACATTCTATCCTTACTCACTTCTCTTCCATTCTATGCGTATTGTTTTAGACTACTTATTTACATTCAGTAAATAGTTGTATTTTCAAAAATTTTTAAACTTACGTTATAGCGCAACTTTGTCGTGTAATATTCTGAAATATTTACATATCCTTATAACGTTTATTGTATTCATCATTATAATTACTCTACCTCAATCACTGTAGCAGTTATCCACAATTTTGTGCATTTGTTTAAACACAACGGTTCCCATATTGTTTGCTCTTGGTTCGGGTTTTGCTTGTTCATAAACTGTTACCAAGTTTAGACACAGCCATCAGCTGTCTTTTTGCACTATTCTATGTTGTAATTATTCTTTCTGTTACTGTTACAGGAAGCCCTTTTTATTTCATACAAAAGGACGCATTAAACGCCACAGACACCTCACAATTTGAGGTTTGTATCTAATTTTTGTGTATTATCCAATAAAGTACTGCAATTTTAGACAAACCGTTGTTTTGCGAATTTCGGTTTTGCGCGTATCTTAATTGGGTAACTTGGACGCTTTGATAGACCTAACACTACCCAAAAACTACACACAGAGCTGTAACTTCGGTCGTCAGGTCACGCAGAGAAGAGTAAAACATTGACTCCGAATTCAGCAGTTCAGATTTCCAACTTCAATTAAGTCACGGTACAAAGTAGTGATTATTCAATTTTATCGGCGGTAAATTCCTATTTACTGATAAAGTTGAAATCTATCAGTTGGGATTTTTCAATAGAAATTTATCAATCCACTATTAAGGTAAACAATGAACAGAACAAGATTACTGCTTCAGTACATTTTTGTCTACTTGAGAATTAGTGGAGGATTTTATTTATTTATGCGTAATGCTGGATGGCTGCAAAGAATGCTGTATGTAAACATGAATGTAAATTGTAGTCTACTATTTTTCGACAAATCTTTACTTCAACCCTAATGAATATCGTTTTAAACCGTCAAAGATAAAAGTAAATAAACCAAAAGCAGAATAAATTTTTATAAACATTTACAACTAACTTTCAGTATTCAGTAGTAGCATTTTAAATCCATCCTGAGAAAACACTTTTGTCACACGATAAACCATATGAGCATTTCGAGACACACGTAAATCAATTTTAGTAACTCTTTCCATAAATAATAAGAGTAAACCAACATAAAGGCTGTAATGACGGGCAACAAATGTCAACCTAAAAATGAAATACGATTATTGTAATTTGAATAGATGAAATACAACCAAGAATATAAATAATTTCTTACTACACTAAACATGACTAACTCATGTTCATATGGTGAAACCTAAGTGTTGGTCAATTTTTTGTGGATTAATCATACCACATATGTAAACATTGTGTGAGGTCTATAACTGAAACTGAATAGATACTCGGATGACTTGAAATTTGTTAGGGATATCCCAAAGGATGAAAAAACAGATAGGTAGTTAAAAGCATACAATGATAATTTACACTTGGATACCGAAAGGTATTAATTTTTCTATAATATGCTCCAGTACAGAGTTGAATTTCAGAGAGAGGATGTCAAGTATCATAGCAAAGGCTGTTTCGAATGCTGACTCTAATGCATTCGGGAAGTCGATCTTTGCTATCTGACCTGCAACCAGAAAAATAAAACTAGTCATCTGAACTTATTTTCTCTAACTGGACGCTTATGTTTAGTACTTATACATTTGTTGATTTAACAAAGTTAACTCAGTTTTAGATGAAACTATTCTTGGGTTGCATATGAAATATTTATTTATTTATATAAACACAAACATTGGTACAACGGTGCACCAAACACATATGTGTCACACAGTTATTAATTTGTGTGAGAGCTATGATACTACCCGGTGCCAAAACTGAAGCATGTGGTTCCCATAGGGGGACACATGCGGAACCTTCGACCAAGAGAGGTCTAATCCATAAGGAAGTAGAGCAACGTCAGGAGATGCAGTCACATGGCAGTCGGTGACCAACAGTAAGTTCATACGCCTTCTGTTCCCTTACGATCATGGAGCCCATGTGTACCATTGGTTTGGAGTCAGCGTTTTCCAACTCCCGCAGGTGGATCCTTCGTATCCACCAACCTGGTTAAAGCGCCGAACATTCGCTTTTCATCCTGTCGATTTCGTAAACAACACCCAGCCGTGAGAAGGCAGTGGCTGTACACGTGTTGCCATGCGAGAGCATTTCGAGATTGAGAGCTGACTCTCCCCATTTTCGGCCGTACCAGGGGCATTTGAGGGCCGCATCTAAAATGCAATTTATTGTTATAAAAATAAAATACTATTTCTTTGATTAATCATCCCTCGATTTAACTAAATAGTAACTTTAAAAACACGAAATTCAGCAAAGGGGTGTCTTTTCGCCGAATCTACCATCAACCAGTACAGTCGTATATATATATATATATATATATATATATATATATATCTGAACTTATGAACAAAGAATAAGCATGATGCTATAGTAAAAAGGTTATAACATTAGATTACGTAGTGCTAATAGTAACAACAAATGATTATGTGTGAAAATAAAAAAGCCTTGTGAGATTGAGTTAGTAACGGCATGCAATGCAAATGAATGAAAAGAGATCCCTTCGTTGAACTTTGTGTTTTTAATTTTTAAATAGAAAATCAACCGGTCTAAAACAAATTTCCGACTAAACCAAAAAGGTATGTGCATAATTTTTTCGGTGCTGAATCAAATAAAGAAAAACCTGAAGTACTAGCATTAGATCTAAAATTCTGTGATACAAGAAACCGGACACGCAATTTGAAAACTTGAATTGTCAAACATCAGACCTATTCCTGATTAATTGGGGTATATAATTGTAGAACCTGATGAGAAATTATTGGAAAGAATATTCTTCGTTCATGTAATTGTTTTAATATAATGGGAATTTTTCAGCAGTATGCTTACTGGAAAGTAACGATATACAAACGACGATCGTTGTGAATTTAGTCGACAAATGGTTAACTAAACACCGATGACACACAGCACTCATCAGAAAGTAAATGGAACACGCCAGTCAGAACGAACAGCACGAATTTGTAGTAGGTCTCCAAGATGTTAATGACTAATGGGACATAACACCACCTTTAGGAGTCCTAACTAAACCTATCAGCAATCTAGTTTACATAACGTGAGAACACTGAAAGTAACTAATTTAACTATTTTTTTCATGGTTTCACAATAGCTATATCAGATATTACACTCAATAAGCTGGTCCATAAAACAACCGTTCATCAACTTAGAGTAGTTGAGATAGGTTATTACTTTTGAAAAAAGTGAACTGCTCAAGGACCAGATTTAGTCTAAAAAGACCATCAAAGAACACGATATGTAACACGAAACAAAATCTTTATGGTAATTGATAGATACAATAGGTTTATTCCCTAAGTTTAATTATTTATACACCGAGATTCCGATGCTTGTTTAGACAGTAGAGTAATTTCGAAAAATAATGTGACTTTCAGAACCAATCAACCTGACAGGTCTAACATAATTTTCCTATGCACTTAAAAGTATTACGTTAAGTTGTAATCCAATTCATAAATTAAACAGAACATGTGATAAATGAATGAATATCTAAATCGTAATATGTTAAAAACTTACCAATCAGAATAATTCTCATTATCAATTTTTAAATTTAAGGGTGCATCCCATGGTATAGATGAAAAGCGAGTACCAGTATGTAGCTGCGGAAATCCTGAGTAACGCCAAGGTTGAATACTAGAGAGCCACGTCTCAAGCACGACTTCAAAACTTAAATCAAAAGGCCAATGTTGAAAACAGTAAACAATAAACCGTGAAAATCGATTCATAATATTGTGATGCGGTATGGATGATTCTGGTGACACTATCACGCCTTGATTATTGTATAAATATCTGTAGAGGACAAAATGTGATCAATTGTGGAAAAAAATACTTTTGAGTCTAGGATAAGTTGAAAATCTACTAGACTATTTAATGAGACACATCTGATATCTTAGAGTTTGAATCCATGATACGAATATACTTTGAGAGTGACTAGAGGAATACAAATGGACATACTTTTTATATACAAGCTTTCAGTCACTGTGTATTCATCGTTATAATGATGATAATATATATTCTGGGAGTTTTTTACGGATCTCAGACCATATTACAGGCCTAGTAGGAGTAACAACTAGGCATCTTTCTGCTGATGTGCTAATAACAGTATCGCTCGAAAATACTTAAGGCGACGCCTGAAACAGTGACATATATAAGGTCGTTTCATGTAAACCAAATGATGTTGATTCAGCTTAGTTGCATATACACTTGGTTAATATCTTTTGGCAGGTGACTTGTGCCTTAAATTAACAAATACTATAATAATAGATAACTATGTAGGATTTCTCTTTTCATCTAACTAAAAACCTTTATTTATGCAAGATAATTCATATGATTCGAATGTGAGGGTCAACTGTTGTACTAGTTCTGTTATTCAACTTTTAACTTGTTTTCTTGTACAGACCAGTCGGAATAAATTGAAACATTTAATGCATAAACTACCTTAGTTTGTACAAACCAACTGCATTGGTTAAGAAAATTATCACAAATAAGTAAAAATAACTTTGAAAACCAACTAATTTATGACCTACTTATATCTACTAATTAGACTATCCTTACTTTCGATAATTGAGAAATTTGTTCCATATTATCTGTTGCTGCAATATTTGGAAACAGTTTGAATTTGTATTATTGAACAATGCAAAGTAGAAATATTTTAGGAAACACCTCACCAGAAATAGTTGACATACAGTCGGTTTAGTTGAGAACTTATAAGCCAAAAGAAGATATCAAATGAGAATATTGATTATAATAAAATCTTACAATTCAAAATAATGAAATGGGTACAAGCATGAATAAAAAATATACTAAAAAAATGGTAGTGAAATTAACTGATCCAAATTACAAGCATGTTAAACTACTATCAATCTGAAAGGAACTTGTGAAATACAAAGGGAGATCGATCAGCTTTGCTTTTCACTTTTTAAAAGTTATTAGGGATGAGAAAACTTGATGAATAAAGCGGAATAGCTAAATGGAAAAACAGTGGAATTTGTTTAGTTGAAATATCCTAGAAGAAGCTGGAAAATTGCTTTAGGTACTCAGAAATTTAAATAAATCTGCTTTTTTTATAGTACTATCAACTAGTCACGAGTGGACACTATCATCAATTTCTCGAGATGCTGAGATACATCAACCTTTAAAATATTATGAGCACAGAACAGAAAACGATAGCTAAGAAAACTTCGCAGATAAAATCCAGAGAAGCGTTTAAAACCGAAAAGCATTAGATAGTTATTTGATCCTAATCCCAGACTTTAACTGTACGTATGTTTAGTCCGAGTGAACAAATTATCCCCGGATATTTAAGGGAGCATGACATCTTAATGAAAATGATCTTTAAATTTTTAGAAACGTGGAAGAATTGTTTTATCGAATATTGTTCCTCGTACAAATGCGAAATACAAGTAATTGGCTAACGTGTCATTTGTTTGCTAACACAAATAATGGAATGCAAACTAACTACGACAAAACTATTCTGTAGAAAACCCATTAGGAATTAGAATAACATCTGTGAAATTTATTTGACGTCCGATGGCGAAATTAACACGTGATTATTCTCAATGACCTGACGAGCGATTGATCTAAATGATTTCTGCAAAAAAACATTCAGATAGTTATGATACCAGTGTAATATAGTAGTGATTTATTGATAAGTCTTGCGGATTGAACGCTATATTCGTCTCCTAAGCTATTCTGTAACCCCCAAGCTAGAACTATACTGCGACCTGAACAAGAGAGAGAAGAACCAAAGTATGCAAGTAGTTTACTCCTAGGTTCATTTTATTACAGAAAATACAGGGTTTTTATATTTTAAATGTCCTTGGGTTGCTAGAAAATTGTGGAATGCTACTAAACATAGTAGCAGTGTAACAACCAGCTAATCAGAAACTTTGCATGTGACGTTCCACTTCCTTGATAATTTTGGCTAAAACTTCAAGTGAACGCTGATTACATGAAACGCTCCTTAGTGTTTCCTGATGCTTGCTTGTCTTTTGCAATCAGTCTTCTGGATCACTTCAACATTTATATAACATGTAATACTACTTTACAGATGAGTTACTCAATGTGACGTCTCAATGGACCGTCACTCCGGCGCTTTGTTGGAAACTGATACAACTGAGTAACAAATATTCGTGAATCCGGTTTCAAGACACACGACACATTACATGTGGCTGCCTGGACTAAACCTCAAGCGAAATTATTAGGATTAGAGTGCCTTATACACTAATTAACTGAATATCGTGCAGTAAGTAGTTGTTAAAGCTAAAGATGAAGCTCTAAATTAACATCTGTTCACCTATCAAAACTGGTTTGAACCAAAACATTCGCAGTTATTCATTTATATTTCCTTATTAGAACAAACATTTGTACAGAAGGGAACCGAATACATATGCGCCACACAGTTATTAATTTGTGTGAGAGCTATGATACTACCCGGTGCCAAAACTGAAGCATGTGGTTCCCATAGGGGGACACATGCGGAACCTTCGACCAAGAGAGGTCTAATCCATAAGGAAGTAGAGCAACGTCAGGAGATGCAGTCACATGGCAGTCGGTGACCAACAGTAAGTTCATACGCCTTCTGTTCCCTTACGATCATGGAGCCCATGTGTACCATTGGTTTGGAGTCAGCGTTTTCCAACTCCCGCAGGTGGATCCTTCGTATCCACCAACCTGGTTAAAGCGCCGAACATTCGCTTTTCATCCTGTCGATTTCGTAAACAACACCCAGCCGTGAGAAGGCAGTGGCTGTACACGTGTTGCCATGCGAGAGCATTTCGAGATTGAGAGCTGACTCTACTGACTCTCAGCCCTATCAGGGTATTTCGGGGACAGTCACGTTTATATGGTAATAGGTGTTTAGAAATTATTGACACAAAAAGCCAAATACCAAGAATTACCGCAGAATGACGGATCATGTTTGCGTCTTAGGCAAGGTTGTTCATAATGCAAAAATTTTTAAAGTCACATTAGTCCAAAAAGTTACAGTAAGATGATGAAGCAAATATCTAAGGATGGTTACAAGATATAGAAGACCGAACTGAGAAAACATGCTTGTCGAGAGACTTATAGTTAAAAGCAATAACGACACCCGATAATTATCGGACGCCTAACTATGACTCGTGGACTGCAAACACGAAAGAATCGAGCTGGCTTCAGACCAGGTCGTGGATGCATCGACTACATATACACTATACGTGGTGGACTTTCTTGACTTAAAAGCAGCATTTGACTCGGTAGACCGCGAGATTCTGTGGCAGTGTCTGTCATTGAAAGGCGCACCTCAGAAGTGCATAATCGAACACAAGTAGTCGAGCCAAAACTTATAGCGAACTTCCATCTGCTTTTGCAACCTCAAGTGGTGTCCGTCAAGGATGTCCACTTTCTCCATTTTTGTTTAACTTCATCATAGACCTACTACAGGAAATAAAATTCTCGTCGACTGAATTCTCGGGTATTGACCTCCATCCAGGTCCACTTATCGACTTAGAATACGCAGATGACATAGTCCTGTTTGGTCAAGACGCTGATAAAATGCAGTCTTCTGGTAGCACTAAGCAACAAAGCCAGAATGTTTGGAATGCGCTTTTCTCCCGCTAAATGCAAACTGTTGCTTCAGGACTGGTCTGCGTCAACACCTGAACTAAGGATAGGGAGTGAAGTAGTTGAACGTGTTGACAACATCACTTATCTTGGAATTATGATCAGCCCTAATGAGTTGGTGTCTTACGAAATCTCAGCACGGATTCGAAAAGCTCGTTTGGCTTTTGTAAACCTACGTCACCTATGGCGAAGGCGAGATATCCGTCTATCGATTAAGGGACGAGTATACTGCGCGACAGTTCGTCCTGTTCTATTTACCGCTGCGGAACGTCCCCATTAGGAGTAGAAGACACTCGTAAGATACTAATATTTGACCACAGATGCCTTAGAAATATTGCTGGCGTCTGCTGGCATCACCGGGTAAGTATTAGTGGGGTTAAATGTAGGGTACTAGGGAATCATGGTAAATCAGTTGATGAGGTTGTGAATCTTCATCGACTGAGATGGTTGGGCCACGTGTTACGTATGTCCGAACACCGATTACCACGACGCGTAATGCTAACCGGTGTTCGGAATGTTTGGAAGAAAGTTAGGGTCGGCCAAACCAAAACGTGGCATCAGTGATTGAAGTCACTAACTTCTAGTCTGAGCCATGTTGGTAGATGCAGATTACTTGGTTGGGGTCCGCGTGACTATCGTAACCAATGGTTGGAGACTGTGAGTGACATCGCTCAGAATCGATCACAATGACGTTGGTGTATACACTCTCTGTATTCCCTTAAACTAAGAGATTAAAATCGCTTCATATCTTTCTTTCTACGAACTAATTCTTTCTTTCTGTACTATATCCTTATATGCAATCTTTCTTTTGTATATCACCACCTCTGAATTAACTACTTTTATGAATCCGGTGTTCATCTTGTTGTGTTAATGAGGTATGGCAACTTGGGCCGATGTATATATGTGCCTGGTCCTACGTTGTAGCCGACTGACTACAACGATACCATGCTACAAACATAACTCATTTTAAAAATTGGAAAATCCGTGTCGTTCAAAAACCAAATAAAAAGTTTGTCTTTAAAACAGCTAGTTATCGATAACACTGAACTTTATTACTTCAAAGTTGAAAATATCTAGTTTGTACTGTTGTAACTGTACAGATAACATCATTTAACAATGGTTCACTGATGTACAACATTACACCAATCTCTTCGTAATTGTTCTCTTTTTTTGCGCTCCTTAGCTTTTTTTCTATTCCTCTTCGAATTCTCATTGTTTTGTGTGGCGCATATATATTGGCGCTGTCTTGTACCAATATTAATGTGTTCAAATAAACTAATTAATTGATGTTGAAACAGGATAATTTATCTATCAATACTTGGGATTACAAGCATTAAAACAATTTCATGACAGCGTATTACGCTGAAATCTTGGCCTCTGGAGATGTGGAGTTGTGTACTTTATGTATAATACTTAATGAGTGTTTGTCGAATAGGGACTAAGAAAATCAACTTGACTGTTTAGAAGTAGTTGTGAGTTATTGACTATCTAGTAGCTAGTTTTCATTTATTATAAATAGCATTGCGAGTTGTCGCACTTCTGCTGTTTTGTAATTAGAAAACATGGTAACAAACGCAGAATACCACCAAAAAATTATACATAATTGATGGTTTTAGCGCCTTCTCATGTCATATTCTTTTATATATTTACATACAGGCTGACTAGGATTTAAGGATTACTCAAAATCTGACGGATTTACGACAGTGAAATTCAGCTCACAATTTACTGAATATTCCTTATCTAGAAACCTGTATATGACTTGGTCAGAGTTAGTAACGCGCTAGCACATACGAATCTAAAGGTTTCCATTCATAATACAAAACAAACACTATGGTTCACTACTTCTTTTCCGAAGAGAATTACGTACAAAGCTATTTTGTTATTTCAATGCATAGCAGAAGTGGAATTAGTTTCATAAAAATGCTGGTAGAGCTATAGGATTTCTGTTCAAACGAGGACTTTCAGTGGAAATATAAAACTATTTAGAGGCAACACTCGTCAAAAACTACAAGTTGATTACTTACAAATTTAAATGATCGTACAATGAGAAATGTGATGACTGACAGCAAGCCTGTGAAAATTGGAGTCTTGTGATGTAGTAGTCATGTTAAATTTCTGTATACAAGATAAAAGTGCTAACCTAATTTCATCGACGAGCATTCGCTCAGTTGCGCAGTTACTTGGAATGCCATATTTGGACCCTTATAATATGCCTCTAACTTTCTAATTATCTACCAACCCTATTTTATCATTAGATTATCAGATTAACTAAGGGATACTCGAGGCACTGAGCTCATTTCGGTAGAAAACAGATTGGACCCATCTGACAAAATACAAGCCATTTTTACGCATTTGTCGGATGTCATAGCGCGAGTGTTATTTCTTTTCTAATATGATTACTGGTCCTTGTGCCAGTGTCAAATGAATTCAATGAAAAGAGGTTAATCCAAATCCGTTTTTTCGTTCAACCCTATTACAATATGGGTCCGTTTATTACTACTAAAGATGTTAGTTTAGTTACCTAAATATCCACTCGGGAACACTGCTATTTCATTTCTTATTCCATACACTCGTCATAGATCGAGTTAAAGTAAACGGGCTTGACAAGCTTATAACTCATGAAGTCATGAACTAAAAGATTATCAAAAGCATTAAATAAACCTCGTTTTGACTCAAGACATGTGATAATAACAAACCTCAGTATGATTTAATGGGGGAGGTGACGGAATCACAGATGTGTTTTTAGGTAGATCGGAAATGCCATTAAAATAATCAGTTGCTCTCCATGATAGAAGAAATTCGCAAACGGCCTATGGTCGAAAATTATTTATTGCACATTTTACTTGTAATACTGCCTCTGTTTGCCAAAATAAGCGGAAGTCGGGAAAGCAAGTATCCGTAGATCCATTCATATACTCCCCAACAAATTCATTGGAAAAATTCCTGCGAATTTTGCAAGAAATAACTACTTACTTCTGGTATCCAGGTGTCTGCAAACCAGCTCTTAAAATGTGAAATTTAGAAGCCATTACATTTACTGTGGTTGGGTCAGTATATAAGTAAAAGCCTAAGTAATCATCAAATAAGGTACGGTATAAACTGTTTTCGAAATCGCATAACGCAAGTTCCTGCAGAAGTTAATTGGCTAAATGTATATTTACCTGTTTCCATTTAGGGTACGATGCATAACACATGAAAGCGAACATATAGTAGGTAAATGCATCTGAACAGTCAACTAAAAGATGATAAACTCACTTAACGACAATTGAGTTCGTGGTTGTTTGCAACCACCTGACCAAACAGAGTTTTGCGAATCTGTCTAAAACAGAATATATACAGAAATAAATGCTTACTGATAAAAGCCAAAGTGGGAAATCATGATAGATTGATGGGAATTCAAGGGTTAATCTACTGGACAAAACCTCCAAAAATCTCCCGTTGGGCGAGAGGAACTCTCGAATAGAACCAAACAAATGTGGCTCATCAGCTTCGTTAACAGCATGTAAAGCCCAGCCTTCTGTACCACATGAATAACCGAATATATTGTCGACAACCAGAACAACCGAATTGTGGAGCTCCTAAGAAATATACATACACATTTATGGCAAACCTGTAAATTTCCACGAGCAAAAATATTATTAAGTTCTTTCACCCTGTCGATAAGTGGTAGAGATAAACAGACATCGATCGGCATCTCTGGAAACTCTGATAGGTTGTCGAAGTCCAAAGAAGCTAAGGGTTTTGGATAATCGCTAGCTATGTGTGAGTCTTTTTAATCCGACTGTCAGTGCGAAATTCAGAACTACAGTTGTACCTGACTACGATGAACAACAAACATAACCAAACCAAGCACTACAAAAGCGCGAACTTGCAAATTCAAAAAAAACGCTAACCAATGTCCAATATGGTTATCACGAGCTTGAATGAGCCAATTAATTTCTTTTCGCTCGATTCTTGTCATTTCGGTGTCTGGTTATGTCCAATGTGTGGTATTCTAACCGATTGACTGCACTAATTCAAGCCAGTTTGTTCATTGTTTGTGGATTAGTATACCTTGTGGTTGAGTGAGTGCGCTTATCTCAGAGCATTGAGGCTTCTGGATTCTGACAGCTAGCAAATTACCAGGTAAGAGTCCGGTTGGTGGCAATGTGAAAATAATAAATTGATAATTAGAGTGCTAAGAGATGATTGTTTCGAGAATAAATAAACAATTTACTTGATCGGCAATGTACAAGATGGAATGGAAAGAATAAGAAGGAAACGGAGAAGAGAATAAGAGAGGCAAAAAGTAGCTCCGGATGCTAGAGTCCGTCTTCGTATGATTTGTGTTTTAGACCTATTATCCACTCGGTCACTCATCTCTGGGTTCGATCTAGGAGGTTAAAGCCTGTTTTGAAGAGCTGGGACGCACCAACGTTGTGGGTATTCTACATGCCGCCGTAGGCCCGTTCTGAGTAGTTAAGAATAATTAGGGGTTGATTGAGTCAAAATGCCTCTGCATATAGTTGAGGGTTGAGCTTGTTTTGACTACATTCCTTGGGACACTTGAAATGATGTCTAGACTGTCTGTGGTTATAAGTCCGTGAAGACGCCACAGGTATTCGGAGTTTGACAACACCTTAACCTGTACCACCTTCTATAATCAAAACGTGCCCAATCAGTGAAATTAAAAGTCAGAAGTGAAGATGTTCAAAGATATATTTGATAGACTATCAATATATAGAGAAGTGATTGACATGAACCGGCTTGCGGTTGTAGGAGAATTTGAGCCCGTGTGCCCACTTGTGATCTGTTGCGAGGCGTGACCGAAAGCCTTCAGCTAGGTGAGTTCTTTAAAAGTAATGTGATCAGCATCAAATGTCGAAGACGGCGAGACTCTAATTTAAGGATGACCTTTGAACGAATCTTAGGTGACCTTGACAATTATTAGTCAATCAGAAGAAAGTTAGTATAAAGTGAAAATATATTATATGAAAGTAATGAATTACAGTGGATATTCTTCTTTTACATGATTTAAAAACTTGTTAAGGTTTGGTTAAGGTTCAGAGTTTCTGAATTCACAATGCATACGGAATAGAAACTCGTTAGGGTTAGGGTTAGTTGAGGGTTAAGGTTTAGGGTTAGGTGAGGGTTAAGGTTAGGGTTTAGGGTTAGTTGGGGGTTAAGGTTTAGGTGAGGGTTAAGGGCTAGGGTGAGAGTTAGGGTTAAGGTTAGGGTTAGGTGAGGGTTTAGGGTTAAGGGTTAGGGTTTAGGGTGAGAGTTAGGTGAGGGTTAAGATGCTAACATACGAGTTTTTAAATCATGTCAAAGAAGAATACCCACTGTAATTTATTACTTTCTTTTAATATATTTTTACTTTATGCTGTCTTCTGATTGACTATTAATTGAAATTGCTCAAACGCTTCTCATTGGCTCGTCCCTAAATTAGAGTCTCGACGTCCTATCTATTGTAACCTCTCATTAATCACCTACTCTCTAAAATCCGCTGAGAACCGATCGTGTGTTAGCAGCGCGTGTTGAACTTGGCTCCGTGACCTTGAAATTGCTCAAACGCTTCTGATTGGCTCGTCCCTAAATTAGAGTCTCGCCGAAGGTTAAGGTGGATCTAAGGATTAGCAATAATAGGCTGCGAGGAGATCGGAAGAGTGTATTTGGCGATTACCAATATATCGGAATTCTCTGATCTAATCTGGCTAGCAATTGCGGTAGATGTTGAGCACGGCGTTACCACACGTGATCTGGTGCGGATGCACGACCGAGCGCCTTCAGCTAGATGAGTCCACTAAAACATGGTCAGCATCCAATGTCGAAAACTTAGAGCTATTTATTTTGGGGATTTATTTACCGCTACAGGTTGTTCTAGCTACCGGGAAAAACGATTTACTCATTCATCTTGAGTCACATTTCGTCTTTATCAATTGTTCGCTTATCAACCTTGATTATTTTCACACGACCGTATGTGTATTTATTGCTTACCCTATTCGTTATACGTCTTTGGCCTATTTTTGTCTGACTATAAGTACTGAATCACACTTCATCAAATCGGTCTGACTCACTCGCCCAGTCCTCTCGCCTTACATGCTGAATGTCCGTCTGTATAAGCGAGTGACTGAAACAAATTCAATCAACCTAACCTGTGTTTGACTTCTCACTGTCTCTATCTCACAAACGAGGTTTGCCTGGGTGATGTGCGGAGTTCAATGTCAGATTTATGTTCATGGCATTTTTATCCGTTCTTTTAATCAGCAGCCAGATCAACGGACCACTAAACTTTTTATACCCCATGGAAAGTGGTATGCAGTGCAATGAATGCAAATGATGGTATTGTAGAATTAAGGTCTACTATGATATTAGTGCTGCTCTAATAATAGACCTAATTCTAAATTTGTAGATTAGTCATGATATAACTGCCTAATCTATAAGATCTTACGTGGAAGTCACACCATCGACTACGCCAACTCACTGTATCGTACCAATTACCAATACATGATGTAGAACAGGGTTAGGCTAGAGAAAGAACAATATATTTAATATGAATACAAGAAATAAGATAACATTCAGTAGGGACCACGCCTGCATGGCCGAGCCATGCCGTTCGATCAACTCTAATTCACTCAACTCATTGTTCGCGCCTTCTCCATCGTTAGGTATTTCTCCGTGTTAAATATTGAATATCTATTTTCCGAGTTGTCTCATGTTCAGCTTTGCGGATTGTGTGGTTATGGTCTAATGCCACTACAGTATCACGACGTTGGCACGAACCTCATGCCTCTGGCTTTCAAAACGTTTGGTAAAGTTGAACACGTTCGGTTGTGTCAGAAATGCTGTTTGAACGTGAACATCTTCCCGTTGCTAAAAGTAGTGTTAGCAAACTTAATCGAAAAGGATCGAGCAATTCTCACCCTGTTGATACACAGATCGATGCGAAGCCACCCTAAATAAGCTCAGAATTTATCCATTTATATGAACCATAGGGTGAAGAGCCAACATAAAAGAGGTCTGTTAGAAATGAAAACGCAACAAAAGGGGACCGTTCTATCCTCCACCCTTCAGACAGCAGAAGGTAGGAAGCACTTAGAAGCCTATTCATAAGGTCAAGTCTAATTATAACCGGAAAAGCAGCGACTTCGCAGCTCAATTCATCGACTATTATCGAAAACCTTGGGGTGTGTGTAGCACGACTGTGGTTGCTACTTCAGTGAAAGTGGATGAATGGGCACAAATAAATAGATAAGAGACGACATTGTCTTTAGGAAAAAGCTAGTCTCCCGAGTAGTACTTAAGGAATCTGGGGCTGATCATGTTTATGGAGTCAGTGGGAGTGAAATCTTAAGGTCATGAGATCAATCTGAGTATGACAGATGGTTGATAAGAGATCTACTTAACCAGCTAATGCCTTAAGATGTTTCTAAAGTCATCTTTTTGAAGTTTCACAAACTGAGTAGCCGGGTGCACTTGAAACAAAACCAAATCAGGCTGCTAAAGGTGGTGTTTAAACATTCCAATTAAGTGGACTTGGGACTGCAGAATGGGCATGAGTAAGGAGGATCGGCTCTAATCATGAAAAACATTACATCCTTTACCGTTATCAATAACATATCCTGTGAAAGTGAGATGTGCAAATTGCTTGTCTATACCCATAAATTCAAGGAACAAGACTTGTTATTCTGCTTGGTCTACCTCAGTCAAACTATGAGGTGAATGATGTCTTGCTAGATCGCTACAACACTGGGTCTTCAAGTGGTTGATGGTTTATCCTTAGAAACGTTAACGGACTTCTAGTACACTGGAAAAATTTGGGGACTGAGTCGTTCAAAATTTCTTCTTGGCAAAAGCTTGCTCTGGGGCAACATATGAAAGAAGCAACTATGTACATATCGGAATCCGAATCATCCTTACTAGGTCTCATATTGATCCATTATGAAGATGATGTCATGGACTTCGATTATATGTCTTTCACAAGTAAGAGTGCCCATTAGGCTCTAGTCTTTGATTTCGAAATCGTCGTCAACAACGGTGTGTCGGCCCAAGGTTGACCAAATGTCTGAGAGATAAATATGTAAGGAGTTATACACAGCATTCTCAGTAAGTCGAACAATATAACTAGAATACGCTGTCAAAAGTTCTTGGGAGGTATTCAGGACTTTTTCATAAGAGCTACTGCACAGCACATTCCTCAAACTACACCAAGGTGGTCGAAAAACTCCTCATACTTGTTCAGTGAGCAGGTTCGTTACCTTTTCCCTAACAAAAATGTACGTTGGATAGATTTAGGTTACTTAGAATTGATGAGGTAGAATCCCATTATTGGCGAGCCCGAAATATTAGTGTTTCAAAGCTCCGTAAGCCAAGAAGATTGCGTGAGGAAAATCGCTTTCAGGAGAGCATGGAAAACGCACATTAACCAAAGGACTAAGATGAGATAGATCAGATAATTGTTGAAAAATGGTAGTACGTGGTGGACTTTCTTGACTTAAAAGCAGCATTTGACTCGGTAGACCGCGAGATTCTGTGGCAGTGTCTGTCATTGAAAGGCGCACCTCAGAAGTGCATAATCGAACACAAGTAGTCGAGCCAAAACTTATAGCGAACTTCCATCTGCTTTTGCAACCTCAAGTGGTGTCCGTCAAGGATGTCCACTTTCTCCATTTTTGTTTAACTTCATCATAGACCTACTACAGGAAATAAAATTCTCGTCGACTGAATTCTCGGGTATTGACCTCCATCCAGGTCCACTTATCGACTTAGAATACGCAGATGACATAGTCCTGTTTGGTCAAGACGCTGATAAAATGCAGTCTTCTGGTAGCACTAAGCAACAAAGCCAGAATGTTTGGAATGCGCTTTTCTCCCGCTAAATGCAAACTGTTGCTTCAGG